TGTACATATGTATAAACACATATATATATGGTCGTAGTAGTGTAGCTCTCTGTGACCCTGATAATGGAAGATGCAAAACAGTACCAGATGTAATAGCTTACACTCACAAAGTCCCATTGACATCAACAGAAATGGGAAAAAAGCCTGGCATTTTCTTAAAACCTAACCTTCTATTAACCCATTGGATCTGAGTGCCTTGCAGATTTTGCATGGACCAAAATCATGGTATCCGGCTTTCTTGAGTGGCGAGACTCCTGTGTGTGGCTTGCAGGCTTATTTCATACAAACACTCACACATCACATTAAGAGTCCTTGCTTCTTCTTTACAACTGCTATCAGCCCTTTTTCTGTAGAAACATCTTTGTTAAGATGCCAATTTTTGAGGTCATTATTTGTCATTTGCTTTTGCTGTGCTATATATTATCTCTCCAGGTAGTTTAAACTCTGAGCAATAACAGTAACAATAAGTAATTTTGAGACAATTGTATATATCTTTTAATTATTCAAATTTTCCATTTTGCCTGTAAGGAGATGGCCCTCTCCCAGGCCTGATTGTTGGACAATAAACTCCACCTTCATGGACCAGTGGATATCCTACAGGAGGTCACAAACAAATCCCTTCCTAAAGGTCCACTGAGAAATCTCAATCTCATTCTAAGTGCTTTAATCATGATGAGATGTTCCCATCATCTGCCCCTTGGCCAAATTTTTTCATGGCAAGACATTACCATTACCCAGATCCAATGGATTAATTAAGGTCAATTTACAAGTTCTTTTTAACTATTTCCAATAGCAATAAGCAGCACTATGACTTTACTACGGAGAGGAGAAAAACAAAAAATGCCAAAACCAACACTCAAAAACATACCCAGTGCATCTGAGCGGTCCCCATCCAGAACGATCCACAGGACATTTATGAGGGCTGGATTTTTCTCTTTATCCAGAGTTTTCATAAGCTGTATGAAGCGGTTCCTTGTGACTAATTTCCTGATTTGAAAAATAATACACATAAAGATGTCATCTACACCAATTAACGTTATACATTCATCAATTTCAAGTAAAGTTCTAAACAATCACTATTGCTATTACTCAAAGGAGAAGATATCCCATTGCAATAAAACTTTTTCAGGATTAATGCAAATCATGGAAATTTATGCTGTATCATGTAGGGAAATATTTACATGCACTTAAACATTCTTAAATTTTGGGGAATTTTGTCCTACACTTACTTTTGGATTTGTACTTGTCATATACTTTTGAGTTCATTGTCTTATTGCATAGTAACCCCACTACATATAATCAAGAAAGAGTATTTTACAATTATAATATACTTACTTTGATGAAACTTTTACTGAGAGGATGTCAAATGCTTTACGTAGTTGTTGCCTCTTACTGAACACTGATTTTTTAACTTCATTCTGGTGGAAAAAAAAAAGTTATGGAACTATCTGTCAACCCAAAATACAAAATATATAGAATGCCACAATACAACAATAACCAAGTAATTATGATTTATCAGCAACAGTTAAACAAATATAATTCATAAAAATTCACTTACTATCCTAGTCTACCCATTCCTGTTATTCCAAATCCATTGTAATTTGCTATGAACAACTTACACCCACAAAAAACCCTATTCTTCACAATTCACTAACTTCCTGAATGAACCAATGTAAGCAGAGTGGAATTTACAGATCGTAAAATTTAAAAACATAGTGTAGGAGCTTCACACCTTGAGGTGTTTTCTGTAGTTATTGTAGATAACAGCAAGGATGATGTTCATATACACAAAAAAGCAGATTATCAAAAATGCAACAAAGAAAATAACATAGTATGGAGATGCATCAAATGCTGGCATCCTGAAAAAAATAGGAGAGAAAACAAATCATTAATGAAATGAACCTTCTTACATCCTGAGACTTATAGAAATATCTAAAATGTGGAAATAATCATACTTGAGTAAATTAAACTTATAGCTTTCAATGATTATAAATCTATATATATTTTTGTACATTTACATTTGCTTAGTATTTATATCAAACCTACTAGAAAATTGTCTACACTATACCCACTCTCACTCTCACTCTCACTCTCACTCTCACTCTCACTCTCACTCTCACTCTCACTCTCACTCTCACTCTCACTCTCACTCACACGCTCTCACTCACACGCTCTCACTCCCGTTCTTGCTCCCGCTCCTGCTCCCGCTCCCACTCTCACTCTCACTCTCACTCTCACTCTCACTCTCACTCTCACTCTCACTCTCACTCTCACTCTCACTCTCACTCTCACTCTCACTCTCACTCTCACTCTCACTTACTCCCACTCTCGAACATTCGAACTAAAACCGCAGACCATTACTCAACTTACATGACATCAGGGTTGTTGGCAGTGGTGACCAACACATACAGGTCAAAGATGCTGTCCCAGTAAGTGGCGAAGTAGGGTCTACCATCTACCCAAGAAAGGCCTCTGAGAAAGTTTGTACAAAACAAATGAT